TCTAGAACTGACACCAAAGAAAGTTCTTCTCATTATAGGGGATTGGAATGCTAAAGTAGGGAGTCAAGGGATAAAAGGAACAACAGGGAAGTTTGGCCTTGGAGTTCAGAAGGAAGCTGATTAAAATATTCATGATTAAAATATATTTATTTTGGGAGTCTGACTATTCTCATTTTTAAGACCTAAAAGTGATCTTGTAGCCAAATAAAGATATCAAGACAAGGTACTTTGTCTTGACTATTTTTTTAAAAAATTGTTTTAAAAACAAAGGGTTCCCTCTGCAAAGGAAAGGCACTCTGCACATCCTCAGAGACACCTGAACTCATCACAGGACCAGAGGAACCTGACAACGAAATTAAGCAGCAACTGTAGGAACAACAATGAACAACAATGAAGCCCAGAGATTTTTGCACACAAGGAGCAATATTTTTTTAGTGTTTGCATACTTAATGTTTTTGCTTTAATATTGCCTTTTAATGATGTGATCTCCCTATTTATATTCATTGTTCTTTGCTTTAAATATTTTCTTTCAAGGACGTAAAAAAGCCGCGTTGGGTCCGCTTTCTGGAGAAAGGCGGGGTAAAATATTTTAAATAAATAAATATATAAAATAGTAAAGATTTAACTAGATTCCCGCTTCAATTACAGGGAAGGAAGCTGTCGGGCGCCAGGAAAGGGTTAAGCTCTCCGAGTTTCCTTCTTCTGAGTCCTAGAGAGACCAAAAAAGGAGGCACCGGAAGTACTGGTTAATCGGATTAGGGAAGCCACTTCCGTTCCCAACAACTGGTAGAAGAAAGCTAATTTTTCAAAGTCCGCCTTGACTGCAGCGAAAGGGCGGGTTGCATTCCTACGCGTTGCAAGGAGAGGGTGAGTGAAAAGGAAGCATTTTTAAGGGAGAAAGTAGAGAGGGTTCAAGAAGTAGAAAAGGACAGAGGACCCAGAATTGCAAAGGAGATTTTTTTAACTAGAAAAACATTCCAGCTGCAAGATTTGGAGGTGGCAAGCAGTTTTCCTCCCTGAACAGACACGAATTAACGATCCCTTCTTTGCAATCTCTAGTTTAAAAGAATCTGAGGCCGAGGAGGGTCTCCAATATGGAGAGTTGGCAGTGTGGTATAATGGTTAGAGGGTTGGACTGGGATTTAGGAGATCAAGTTTCTAGTCCTTAAATTCTGAGTGATCCATAAAATTCATTGGGAGATCTTTGCACACTTGCTCTCCCCCTCCTACACACAAACACATATACCACAGGAGCCCCGTATCCAGAGGGATTGGTTTGAAGCCCCTCCTGGATGCTGAAAAATGTGGATTACTACAAACACTCTTTTATGCTATACATAGCATAATCTCTGGCTCGCTCTAGTAGCCAATTCTGGTAACTTCAACTTTAGAAATACTGTACATAGTTGTGGGATTTCAAATCATTGAGTTGGAAGGGGCCTGTAAGGGCATCAGGTCGTTTGCCCTGCTCAACTCAAAGCAGATCTGACAGATGGCTGCCCCATTTTCTCCTGAATGCCTCCAGCGGAGCTCTTACTACCTCCCGAAGTCTTTGATTCCGTTGTCGTCCTGCTCTAACAGTTAAGAAGTTTTTCCTGATATTCAGCAAAAATCTGGCTTCTTGAAACTTGAGTCACTCATAGTATTACTGAACCAAGTAGCTCCCCATCTAAGAACTGTGCATTTATGGGTTTTTTCCCCCTAGGGGTAGAACTTTGCACTTACCCCTGTTAAATCTCATTCTGTTATTTTCAGTCCAATGCTCAAGCTTATCAAGATCTTTTTGAATTTTGTTCCTGTCTTCCAAGGTGATGCCCATTCCACTCCATTTTATGTCATCTGCAAATTTGATGAGTTAATCCCTGCACCCCCTGATCTGAGACATTAATAAAAATGTTGAAGAGCACTGGGCCCAGGACAGAGTCCTGGGGTGCCCCACTTGCTACCTCCTCCCAGTTTGAAAAGGAGCTACTGTTAAGCACTCTCTGAGTACGATTCTGTAACAACGCAGTATATCTGTCTGCCTGACATTTGTTCTATCCAGCTAACATCTAGTGAGCTTGCTTATCAAAATATCATGGGGAACTTTGTCAAGCACGTTTATTGGATGATGGAAGGACAAAAGGGAGGGGGCCAACCTGGAAGCAGCCACAGAGAAAGCCAATTTCCCTGTGAAGGTAGAAGGACTAACAGGCAGGCCTCAAAAGATCATAAAAAGCCAAGAAGGTTCATGCACAGAAATATGGAAAATGATCACATTCCCATGCTCTAAATAAAAGTTATTGCGTTTTATTTCATCACAGCTTTTGGCTTTTTATTCCAGAAAGGACCTACAGTACTGAATGCCTGTGGGTAGCAGAAGAGTCCATATTGGAAGGCTCAAATGGAATGAACTATCCCTGAGGTGACACTTTAAAAAGTGCATTGCCTGGAGACTTTGAGTGCAGACACAGTCGGTGGGAGAGGGCAGCTGTAGCCCCTCAAGCAGCAGACGCAAAGGAGGAAGGTGTTGACTCTGAATTGCAGGTGGAGATGGAAGAAGAAAAAAACCCACAGATTCTACATGTGGGGAGTATCAGGGAGTTGCAAAACATGGCATCTCCCGGCCAGATTAAAAGAGAACCGGAGGAAGAGCTGCAACAGTCTTGGGAAATCCAGTGGCAAGAGTTCCTCAGGATGCTTCAAGCTCCTTGTTCAGGATGGGAGAAGAGAAAGGTGTTGGAGGAACCCAGGCCCTGGGATGATGCCAAAGCTTTCTTGGCCTCCTTTGAGCATGTGGCGTCAACGTGCCGGTGGCCTCGGGACAAATGGGTGACCCTCCTCTTGCCGGCCCTCAGTGGGGACACCAGACAGGCCTTGGGGTCCCTCAGCACCAGAGACAAAGGAGATTATGAGAAGGTAAAAGCAGCCATCTTGGAAGGAGAAGCCACGCTGAGGGAGAAGCAGCGCCAGCATTTCCGGCAGTTCTGCTACCAGGACACAGAAGGGCCGAGAGGCGTCTACAGCCACTTACGGGAGCTTTGCTGCCAGTGGCTGAGGATCGAGAGGCACTCGAAGGAGGAGATCCTGGAGCTGCTGATCCTGGAGCAGTTCCTGACCGTCCTGCCTCAAGAAATGCAAAGCTGGGTCCGGGATCGGGGTCCGGGGACCTGCACCCAGGCCGTCCTGCTGGCGGAGGATTTTCTTGCAAAGCAGAATGCGGTGAAACTTAAAGGAGAGGTGAGTGGACTCTTATGGTGATGAGTGGCTATGACATCGGCTGGGCTAAATGGCTGTTGGGCACCTCATTTCCAGAATGTCGTGGTTTCAGCTAACAGGATCCTCTTCCTCCATCTGAAAGCCTGAGGCATTCTTCCCATCACAGAATATATTTGCTCCTCTACCCAGGATTTTCTAGCTTATCCCAAACTGAGGAGTGACCAGGGCCGGCCCTACCGTTAGATGGAGTACCATTAGAGTAAAATGAGTTGGCTGCCTCAGGCATCCGATTTTGAGTGGTAGAAGATTGTCAATTATTTTATTTATATTTTATTTATAAATAATGTACAAGGTCATACTCA